AGGGTAATAGGAAAAAAAGAAACTGCAAGATATACCGTGTACAAGTACAAATTTCTTATGATGAATTGATAAATTTGCACACGTACAATGTACTCATAAAACAAAAATAAAAGGGAAACATAGTCTTTTTACTGTTTGTTTATAGATGAATATCCAGTGATCCCAACAACACTGATCCAAAACACCATCCTTTCTCCTTTGAATTACTTTCATGCTTTTTTAAAAGAAGAAATCAAATGACTGTATTTACATGGATCTCTTTCTGAGCACTCTATTCTATTCCAACCTAGTTGTTCAAATCTATTTCAACATTAGATTGCTTTGGATTTTTTGGTGTCTTGGTTTTGTTTTGTTAAGCAAGCCCTTCCTAGACATACATACCATTGGGTCTGTAACTCCTTACACAACCTGTAATGGTCTTAAATCACCATCCTCCATCTTCAGCCTCTTTAGTGCTGGGATGATTGTTTTGATTACTGTAGCTTTGCAGTCAACCTTTACAATTTGCTAGACAGGTCCAGAGCAGTGTTCTATCTAATGTTTTCTGGTCATGATTTACACTGTAGTATCTCAGAGAGCAGTGTGGGTGTGTCAACTTTTTCTCACAAGGTATTTTACATATTCAGTTTCGTATGATCTTCTCAATGAAATTCTCTTGTTACATGCAAGATAACTTTGCCCAGTTTACTAATTAAAAAACAGATTCTAATGAGGATTTGTTAAGAGGAATCCTAGATAGTATATTGCTGGTGGGAATGTAAAATGATTTAGTAGATGTGGAGTACAATTTGGCAATTCCCCAAAAAGTTAAAAATTATTATACACATTACAATTCACTATACTCAGTATATATCTCAAAGAATCAAAAACTAGTAATGAAATACATGTACACACGTGTTCAAGGCAACACTCAGTAACAGAAGTCTGAAGATGAAAATGTCTCCAATGTGCAGCAAATGCTGAATGAACAAAGTGTGGAATACACATTCCACACGCATTATTCAACCACAAAAGGTAATGAAATTCTGAAATATTCTACAAGAAGGGTAAAACACAATAATTATATTAAATAAAAAAGTCAACCACAAAAAAGCTCATGTACTGTATTACCCCATGTATGTAAAATGTATAGAATGGGTAACTGTGTATCTAGAAAATGCTGTCTCTCAGTTCCTGAGGTCGGAGCACGGGGCAAAGAAGCACTGCTTAACGGGTACAGAGTTTTCCTTTTGAGGTGATGAAAACACTTTGGACTGAGAGTTGGTGGTTGCACAGAAATATGAGCCTACCAGCTGCTGCCAAATTATTCATTTTCAAGTTATCATTTTTGAGCCAGGTGGAGTAGTGCATGACTATAATCCAGGAAATCAGATCACTGAGGCAGAAAGATTGCAATTTTGAGATCAGCATTGGCAACTTAGCAAGTCCAAGTCTACCCTAGACAACATGGTGAAGCTCTGATTCAACAAAACTAAATAAATAAATGAAAGATATAAAAGGATTAATTTTACATTATGTGTGTTTCAACTTGAAGAGAGGGATGGAGGCAAGAAATTCAACAGAGCATTCAGCTCTAAGCTTGCAGAGAAACGAAATACTTATAAAAGAAATCTGAACTGCCTATTTTCAACTATCTTGGATAATGGAAGACAGTAGTCCCATGTAATCCCAACTAGCATACTTGAAAACAACCATTCTATGTAAAACCAACATGTTCAGAGTAGAGGGATATGCAGTGTGGAATCTAGGGGGCATCTCCTTCTGAAGGTGTAGCCACTGTTACTTTCCTATTATCTTGTTTTGGATTCCTCTGTCATTTGTATTACTTTGTTGGGTTGGGTTCTATTCTGTTTTGTTTGATTTTGTTGCATCCAATGGCATGGGGGCAGCTATTTCAAAGATAGCAAGATATATTATGGTAGTTTCAGATCCTCCATTCAAGAGACTGAACAAACGTCAGGGCAGTGGTTCAAAGCTGAGCCATGATAATGCACCCCTCCTTCTTCCCAGAAGCCCCTACGGCTTCTCCCTCCCAAAAGTCTGCCAAAGCTCAGGAATGTAAAAGTTACCCAACCGCTTGCACTTTCACAAAATAAATCAGCTCACACCAGCCACCAGAGCCCTACCCCCATCACAGCCTCTATCAGGAAGAACCTGTCCTTTGTCTGCAGAGAGGGGCCACAGTCTTCCTTGAGGTGACTCCCTCCGTGCCCTCCCCACGTATTAAACTCATTTCTTATCTACTTGCCTCCTCTCTTTAATATTCTGCACTGCTCTGGATTGAATACAAATCACTCAATCAGCAGCCATGTTGGGTTTACTACTGTCCTGTTTTAAAGTCTTTTACTACATTCGTCCTTTTGTTTTCATTGGTCTTATTCTGTTCTGTTCTGTTGGATTTTTACTGCAGCTATTTGAAGACAAGAGGTATTTTGGTAACCACTGTAGATTTCATGTTGTTTTGAAATCCTGTATCATTTACATCAGTTTATTTTGATTGGTTTTATTGTGCTACTTTTTCCTTGGTTCTATATTTTTTAGAATAAAATCAGTAAAAACTTAAAACCACCATGCACCCTAATACATTCAAATAAATAGAAAGTATTATGTTGTATGAAATATTACAGCAAAAATATTCATATGCTTTGAACCTATTTTTACTTAATTTTTTTTAAACTTTCAAGACAGAATCTTACTATGTAACCCAGCCTACCCTGAGATCACAAGGTGCTCTAAGCTGGCCTTCAACTCATTATCCTGTTCTCTCCTCTTCCCAAGAGCTAATTGTTCTGTTCTGACCTGGGTTCTTATGTCGCCTTGTATCTTAATCTTTTTAAAAAATAAAATAAAATATAATATAATAAAATAAAATTTTACAGCATTGAGTCAACACACTCAGTTGAATCTATTTGATAAAAGAGCATACAATTCACTTTGTAAAATTTAACTCAGAAAATTAAAATTGCACAATTTGGTATAAACTGAGGGAAGCCAACTCTGCAATCACTAACCCAACGACTCAAAATTTACAGAACAAACAGCCATGATGCAAAACTGTTGGGGTAAAATAAAAGGACCGCCCTCCTCACCTTTGCCAGGCCAGAGAGGAGCTCTAGGGCTGCCAGTGAGATGCTCATGTCTTGCTGCCTCACGGAGTTGAGTCTTGGGGTGACAAGATGAATGCTGAAAATCAGGAGCCCAGCAGCTGAATCTGTGTTAAGAGTTACCATATAGCCCAGACGCCAGTCCCACAGGGAGGGAAAACAGCTAAGCACTGGTAACAAGAAGCACAGCATTCCAGTACGCACAGACCACAGTAGCCACAGCGGGCATGCTGGGCACCCACACGGTGCCATGCTCCCTGCCCACTGGCCTGAACCCCAGCCGGGCCTGACTGACACAGTGCAGGGCACCCCTGCAGGGCCAAGGCAGCGTCTAGCTCCCAGCCCACAGATTTTCCCATAGACAGCCACAGGCCTTGGGCAGCTTCAGGATCATTCTTGTAATGCTGCACAATTTACAGTCTCTAAATTAACAACTCACAGAGTTACATTTTAAAACTTAACTATAAAGAAAGGGCTAGTAAGCATTTCTAAGGGACTTTATAAGTAAAATAACCAACTTTCACAGCCTCCTCACATGCTGGGAATTATTTTGTATCACTGAAATTATTTGTAGGCAATGTCTTTTCAAATCCATTTTAACACTTAACTCTTCAAGACTACTTTAACAATTCTAAACATATCAAATAAACAGACCAGGTTTTATTTGGCTTCTCACTTTATATTTGAGTCATTAATATCTAACGAATAGTACATTAGAAGAGCTTAGGAGAAATTAAACTGCATTTATAAAAGAAGCTTTAAGGCCATTACACCAGTTGATCCTATCAGAAACAGGGCAGTGACCACAGAAAAAGGAATGATCATCAAAAGAGACATTCATGCAACACTAACACAAATCTGGGTTTCTATGTAAAAAATATCTTTCAACATTAAAAAAAGAGCTCACGGACACCAGTTCAAAATGCTAAAACAAATAATAATCACATCAGACATTATAACAACACATGCAGTCATGCAAACATCTTTAGTTTAAAAGTCCTGAAAAAAAAGAAAAAGTTTCAACCTACAGTATGCCTACATGTTTGTATACAATGAATAAGATAACAATTTAAGTAACTGCTGCATAGACACAACACTTATATATCATAAATAGTCACATATTTGTTTTGTCCTGCTGACATCCTCAATAATATTTACTGCAACATTAACTCACAAAAACATGAGCCCTGAACACATGAACATGGCCCATTAAGACTCCAGATGATTAAAAAATTCACATCTAAGGAATTAAATACCATTGTAACCTAGTTAGCTATATATTTGCACATTCAATACACAGTTAGTATTGGAATATAAAAGTATAAAGGTACCCAAAATTGACTGAAAGCATAAAAGAGTGGCCCCAGGTAAAAGATATTGCTAAACAGAATGTGTTGCTGACAGATATTTTATAAGGCAAGGCAGAAAATTAAAATGTTTCCTTACTCTTGCTTAAAAACTGTGCCTGAAGAATCTAATGATGTGCACAGTAGGGTAGGTATACAAAGTTTAACATGGAGACAGTTACTCCTCCCCCTAGTTCTCCTCGACTGCGGACTGCATCCCTCCCTTCTCCCACACTGCAGTCACTCATTAGACTGTGTGCTCGCTCTGAGCGTGGCTCCATCTTATCTGATCCATATCACCGACACCTGCTAAAGAATCCTGGAATGTTTCCTGACCACTCATTACAATCATCTATAAAAGCTAATAAACTACCCCTAATGTAACTACCAAAAGCTATACAGGTAAAAACTATTTATGATTTTTCTTAGTTTTGCTCACAAACATGCCATTATACAGAAGCACATAAAATTTTGGGTTTAGGTTTTGTTTTAAATTTTTGAATATTGAAATTTTGTTACTTACATTTGTTTTCTAAACAAAAGTGTAAACAAATAAAAGAATAAAGGTAATTTTGTAAAATTTTATTTTTATTCTTTTTTAACACAGCTTCCCATGATCCCTTAGGAGAGTTGAGCGGGCCTCTCAGTGCCAGGAGTCGTGGGCTCTGTGCTCCCACCACTTGCTGAACCAGTACCACTATCAGTGCCACTAGGACCCTTCATGTTGTCTTCTCCACGACCCTAGTCAAATGAAAGCACATCAAGGATTTGGGGGTTATGCCACATTTCACAAATATAAACAGAGAATAATCATTAAAAACTTCACTGACAACAGGGAATAGGCCAATTAAATGGCATGTAATGACAAACAGACACCAAACCAACAATGGATTAAAATTGCTGTGGTGTTTCTACACAGACACAATCTGCTGAAGGCTATAAAGGGTCTGACAGCTATAGGTGGAGTTACTGGGGTCTCCTTGGCCACTATTTAAAAATGTCCAGCCCAGGACCGTTTTTAATACTTTAACAGACTTTAATGGGTCCTTAAAGAAAACACCCTTCTTACCAACTAAGCAAAATTTCAGAATAGGAATACAATCTTAAAACAAAACAGTAACTTTCCAATGTAGTTATATCCTAAAACAAAACAAAATATTATGATTAATGTAAATTCTAAAATGACTAGAACTAATAAATTTGTTGAAAATTAATTTTCCTCATTTTTTCCACAGAAGTACGATTTGTTATATTTCTACCAGGAAATTATTGTTAGCTATCTCCTGCACGAAAATGTAAATTCCTTATCAATACCCTAATTATGCATTCTATATCTACTCATCACAGCCTATTAATTAATTGCCCTACTCCCCAGCATTTCCTGTAGGAACAAAGACAGCATATTTTGATGCAAAATCAAAGGGCATTGAATGTCTCTGGGAAGCTTTATCTATTTGGAAGCATTAGTGTATTGAGGGACCTGACAACTTTCATCTAAGCGGCTAGAATGAGACCCATGACCTTACAGTCATCATTAGGGATGCCTTGAATTATGGAGTAAAAGGCTTGTTTAGATTATTCAAGCTAGTTCACCAGTATAGCAAGACACATAGATGCTGTCTAGAAATAAAGACTGGCCTTAGCTGGAATTTCTGTCATGCAGAACGTGTCAGGGATCCGAGGCACAGCTAATAAGGCATTGATACATTAAAAAAATCTCAGAACAGGTATTGTTAAAAAGTGTCCTTCTCCTGGGTACTGTGGCACATGCCCGCTCTCTTAGGACTCAGCTGAGGCAAGACAATTGCCATGAGTCCCAGGTCAGCCTTGGCTACAGAATGAGTTCAAGGCCAGCCTGAACTAGTCAGATAGTCTTTCAAAAATGAAAAAGAAAGAGAAAACAAGAGGTTCTTTTGAATGAATGAGCTGGATTTTACAAAATGTCTTTAAAAATCACAAGGTCAGGGCTGGGGATTCAGCTCAGTGGCACAAGCACCTGCCTGGCAAGTGCAAGGCCATGAGCCTGACCCTTGGCAGCAAAAAAAAAAAAAAACCATGATGACAGCTAGTAAAATGATTTAGACAAATCATAAATTCACAATCTCTGATAGATTACATGTTAAAATTTTCTTACCATTTCCATTTGGCAACCAATGGCTTCTAATACTGCAGAATCTTGAATAGTATTTAACACTGGCTCCACAGCAGCAAAAAGGGGAAACAATGCAATCTAAAGATGTAAGAACACTTCAACGTTCATATGATTAAGAATAGAAATAAGAATATGAACATTTCTGGAACCCCCCAAAATTACTGGTAAATCCAAAAATGGTCACAATAGACACCCTAGAATCTCGCCAATTCTAATTTATCTCCCAAAGTTTTAAAATTGTATATTTATAAGAAAAAATTGATAGCCAAAATGTACTTTTATAAAATGTACTCACTTACAATATATTTTCATTGGTTTGAAAGACCCGATACATATAAGCTGCTCAATTTCAAAGATATTATAAACAAGGTTCTAATCTTTTAGAAAACAAAACAAAGTAGGGAAATAAGAAGCACAGCTGTACCATCCTACTGTATAGAAGTGAGACAATATTTGACGGCAGGGACTCTGTAGATCAGCTTAATTTAGGATGACAGCTTTATTCGATGTGTCATGAGCAGCAAAAAACATTACCCAGCTTATGTTTTAGAATATTGATTCTGGCTTACAGAGGGAAGATCAAAGGTGAAGAAGCAAGAAAGGAAGCAGAGAGACCAGGTAGAAGGCAGTGACAACACTGTAATTAAAAGATGAGAAGCTGAAAAAGGTTCTAGGCGTGAAAAGGTAGATCAAGAAGTATTTTGGAAGTAGTGCCAAAGGAAATTTGGGGTGAACTTAAATATTGGGGCATTGGTGAAAGAGAAGAATTAAAGATAGATGAGTTGTAGGTTCTTGTTTGAAATATTTGATATATATCTGAAGAAGCCATGTACCAAGTTGAGCAACTAGACTGTTGGGCAACTGATTTAGGGCAAAGCTATGGGAGGCAGGCAAGGTAAGTGTGAGCTGCCCTGTAGATGTACTGTATTAGTGGAGCTATCAAGTGGGCAGGTAGCTGGCAACAAACACGGAATGGATAGGATGGATGTAGGCTGAAGAGCACATGGATCTATGATACTTTAAGTGATGGCACTGATGAGACTACCTAGAATAAGAGGGCCAAGAACAGCACTTAAAACTTTCCAACATGTAACAGCTTGGTAGGCAGGAGAAGGGAGCAAAGGAGATGGAAGAGGAACCAGGGAGATCGAATGAAAATCAGGTTAGTATGGTACAATGCAGGACTCAAGCAAAATATGGTAAGGGATGGGGTCAAGCAAGCCAGTGCTACAAGGCCAAGTGAGAAGATGACCACAACTTGCTCAGTTGTGGCAACAGGGAGTCCACTGGAAACTTTGATGTGAGTTCACTCAGTGGTATGATAGGGACAAAAATGGTACCCAAAAAGAGTGGAAAATTTAAAGGGTTTTTATTTTCAGGGTAGAAGAGAATGAGGACAACAGCTAGAGAAGCTAAGACATCCAGAAAGTTGTATTCTAGAACAGCAATAGGACATATTCCTAGACCAGCATAAATAATCAGGTTGGAAGGAGAAGGTGATCAGACAGGAAAGAGGAGTGAGGACCTAGAGAAGGCAGTGAGAGTGGGCCAAGTGGGCAGCACTGGAACAAGCTGCGCCAGCTCTGTCTCCACCTCCTGCTGTCTCTACCTCTGCCCTCTTCATTTCGCCTACACTGGCATCCTCGCTTTGCTCCAACGCACTGCTTCAGGTATTTTGCCACTGCTGTACCCTCTGGCACAACCTCAATTCCAGGTACCTGCACAGCTCCCTCCTTCACCTCCGCAGCATGATCTGCCCCAGCACTGTGTTTACAGTTGAACAGCCCCAGCTGTCTACTCCACGGCAGACCGCCCACCCCCATCTCCTTTCCTTGATCTGTTTCCTCCCCCACAGAATACACTCTTATGTACTCCTTGATCTAGTTAGGTCTTCAAACAGTATATGGTATCTTGACTAAATCCTGACAAAAGACAAAACCGGAAGCAAATAGCCCCATTAAGCCAGTCTTGATTTCTTGACCCACAGAAACTATCAAAGAGGTTTTTGGGATATAGCTCAACCCGCAACCTGCCTGGTAAACTGCACATTATGAGTTTGATTTGCAATATTAAACAACAACAAGAAAAAACTATCAGCGTTAATGCATGTTTATTGCTCTATTTAGTTGCCATTTTGACATAATTTTTAAATTAAATTAAATCATATGACTTCTATTATATTAGGTAGCCACTGACTTCTTCAGTATAAAGAACAAGGTGGGTCATAGGGTTTTCTTAGCAGAGGGGGTACTCAAGGTGTGGAATCCTGAGACCTGACCTCACTTCCTTGGCAACATGCCCAAACGGAACTGGGGAACCTGCCTCGAGGTACCCACCGCATAACAGCCATCTCTTGATCTGCTGTCTCTGAGAAGCTCAACATCTGACATGCTGAGCTGCATCCCCACTTGCAGCGAGGCCGAGGTGGACACCAAGACTATGACACAGAAGCCTGGGCAGGGAGAGTCTGTGTGAAAGGCACAGGAGGCACGTGACTCTAGCCACTCGCTGCAGGCCACCATGCAAGAGACACTCGTCCCTCTCAGACACACCAGAGATGGTGGGCCCAGGACTGGCCACCCGAGAAACATCAAGTTACCTGGCGGACATCTCCTCAAGCCAAATACAAACGGTACCACAAGGCCAAGAAATCCCAGGGCGAGTCTCACCTGGCCAAAGCTCAGGAATGTAAAAGTTACCCAATCCCTTGCACTTTCACGAAGTAAATCAGCTCACACTAGCCACCAGAGCCCTACCACCATCACAGCCTCTATTAGGCAAATCTGTCTTTGTCTGCAAAGGGGAACCACAATGTTCCCTGAGGTGACTCCCACCGTGCCCTCCCTGCCTATTAAACTCTTGTCTACTTGCCTCCTCTCTTTTTTTTTTTTTTTCCAGTTTTTTAAAAATTTTATTTAAAGGAGGAAAAAAAATCCAAAACAGTATAAGGGTACAAGTAATACAGAATTAAAAAAAAAACAGTAAGAAATCGCTAGTTAATAGATTACATATTGTCATCTTAGAAATGGTTGCTCAAGACTACACACCAGTTTTGCATTGAGAACATTACATATTGTTGACATTCAAACAATAATACCTTGAAGTATGATACCTTGGCACACTGAGTACTTTGACCTGGAGGAAATCAGGAAGGCCTCAGACACGAGCTGAGCTCTGCCTTTCCTTCTCAAAGGCAAGTCCAGAAATCAGAACTTCCTTCCCCAAGGCAGGCCCCAGAAACAAAGGAGTCCGTTTCTGTGGAGGTAAGTACTGAAACCTGGGCAGGCCTTTCTCTCTGTGCCTCCCCCCTTGAAGACTTTCAGTTGGGGCTGGGGAGGGCTTGCTCCACAGAGAGCCTTGTTGCCTCCTCTCTTTAATATTCTGCACTGCTCTGGATTGAGTACAAATCACTCAATCAGTAGCCATGTTGGGTTTCCTACTTGTATTGTTTTGAAGTCTTTACTGTATTCCTTGTTTTGTTTTCATTGGTTTTATTCTGTTCTGTTCTGTTGGATTTTTGCTATGTATGAAGCATACCTGCAGCTATTTGAAGACAACAAGAGGTATATTGGTAACCACTGTAGATTTCATATTGTTTTAAAATTCTGTATCACTTACATCAATCTATTTTGATTGGTTTTATTGTGCTATATGTTCCTTGTTTCTATGTTCTTTAAAATAAAGCTACCATGTACCCTACTATATTCAAGTAAATAGCAAGTATTATGTCCTGTGCAATTTTACAGCAAAACTATTCATACTCTTTGAACCTATTTTTACTTAATTTTTTAAAAACTTTCGAGACAGAATCTTACTATGTAACCCAGCCTGCCCTGAGCTCACAAGGTGCTCTAGGCTGGCCTTCAACTCATTATCCTGTTCTCTCTTCTTCCGAAGTGCTATTTGTTCTGTTCTGACCTAGGTTGTTATATCTTCTTTTATCTTAATCTTTTTTCTAAATAAAAAAATAAAATAAAGTTTACAGCATTGGATCAACACATTCAGTTGAATCTATTAGTTAAAAGAACAAGCAATTCACTTTGTAAAATTTCACTCGGAAACTTAATGTTGTACAATTTGATATAAACTGGGGAAAGCCAACTCTGCAATTGCTAACCCAAGAAGTCAAAACTTACAGAACAAACAGCCATGGTGCAAAGCTGTTGGGGTAAAATAAAAGGACTGCCCTCCTCACCTTTGCCAGGCCAGAGAGGAGCTCTAGAACTGTCAGTGATATGCTCATGCCCGCTGCCACACGGAGTTGAGTCTTGGGGTGACAAGATGAATGCTGCGAATCAGGAGCCCAGCAGCTGAATCTGCATTAAGAGTCAAGATATAGCCCAGATGCCACATCCCACAGGGAGGGAAAACACCTAAGCACTGGTAACAAGAATTGCAGCATTCCAGCATGCACAGACCACAGCAGCCACAGGGAGCATGCTGGGCACCCACACAGTGCTATGCTCCCTACCCATTGGCCTGAACCCCAGCCAGGCCCCCTGACACAGTACAGGGTGCCACCTGCAGGGCCAAGGCAGCGTCTAGCTCCCAGCCCACAGATTTTCCCATAGACAACCACAGGCCTTGGCAGCTTCAGGATCATTCTTGTAATGCTGCACAACTTAGAGTCTCTAAATTAACAACTCACACAGAGTTACATTTTAAAACTTAACTATAAACAAAGTGATAGTTAGCATTTCTAAGGGACTGGGGAAGTAACCAACTTTCACAGCCTCCTCAGATGCTGAGAATTACCTTGTATCATTGAAATTACTTGTAGAGTTTAAACCATCAAAAACAACATACAATGCCTTGTCAAATCCATTTTAACATGTAATTCTCCAAGACTGCTATAACAGGTCTAAACATATGAAATAAACAAGCCAGTTTTATTTGACTACTGACTTTATATTTGAGTCATTATTTCCTATCGAATAGTACATTAGAAGAGCTTAGGACAAATTAAACTGCATTTATAACAGAAGCTTTAGGGCCATTATAGCAGTTGATGCTATCGGAAACGGCAGTGACCACAGAAAAAGGAATATCATCTAAAGAGACGTTCATGCAATACTAACACAAAGCTGGATTTCTGTAAAAACTATTTTACAACATTAAAAAAAGAGCTCACTAACACCAATTCAAAATGCTAAAACAAATAATATTCACTTCAAACATTACTAGAACACATGCAGTCATGCAAACATCTTTAGTTTAAAAGTCCTGAAAAAAACGAAAAAATTGCAGACTACATTATACCTACATTTACATACACAATGAATAAGACAATTTAAGTAACCACTGCATAGACACAGACATATATCATAAATAGTCACATATTTATTTTGTCTAGCTGACATCCTCAATAATATTCCCTGCAACGTTAATCCATAAAAACATGAGCCATGAAAACATGAACATGGCCCATTAAGACTCCAGATGATTAAAAAATTCACATCTAAGAATTAAACACCACTGTAACCTAGTTAGATAAATATTTGCACATTCAATACACAGTTAGTATTGGAATATAAAATTATAAAGGTACCCAAAATTGACTGAAAGCATAAAAGAGTGGCCCTAGGTAAAAGATATTGCTAAACAGAATGCGTTGCTGACAGATATTTTATAAGGCAAGGCAGAAAATTAAAATGTTTCCTTACTCTTGCTTAAAAACTGTGCCTGAAGAATCTAATGATGTGCACAGTAGGGTAGGTATATAAAGTTTAACATGGAGGCAGTTACTCCTCCCCCTAGTTCTCCTCGACTGCAGACTCCATCCCTCCCTTCTCCCACACGGCAGTCACTCATTAGACTGTGTGCTCGCTCTGAGTGTGGCCCCATCTTATCTGATCCATATCACTGACACCTGCTAAAGAATCCTGGAATCTTTCCTGACCACTCATTTCAATCATCTATTGAATCTAATAAACTATCTGAAATGTAAGTACTAAAAGCTATACAGGTGGGGCTGGTGATTTAGCTCAGCAACATAAGCGCCTGGCTTGCAAGTGCATGGTTGTGAGTTGGATCCCTGGTAATGGTAAAAAAAAAAAAAAAAAAAAAAAAAAGGCTATACAGATAAAATGTGTTTAGGGTTTGTCTTAGTTTTGCTCACTAACATGCCATTATATAGAATTACGTAAAATTTTGGCTTTTAGTTTTGTTTTAAATTTTGAACATTAAAATTTGTTGCTTATATTTGTTTGCTAAATCTAAGAATAAAAGTAATTCTGTAAAATTTTTATTTGTATTCCTTTTAACACAGCTTCCCATGATCCCTTAGGAGAGTTGAGTGGGCCTCTCACTGTCAGAAGTTGTGGGCTCTGTGCTTCCACCATTGCTGAACCAGTATCACTATCAGTGCCACTAGTACCCTTCATGCTATCTTTTCCACCACCCTAGTGAAATGAAAGCACATCAAGGGTTTGGGGGTTATGCCACTTTTCACAAATATAAACAGAGAATAATATTAAGCACTTCACTGATAAAAGGGAATAGGCCAACTGAATGGCATGTAATCACCATTCCTTGATCTCCCTTCCTTGATCTGCTTTCTCCCCCACAGAATACACTCTTACTCCTTGATCTTTGTCATCACCAGAAAGATTTTTTTCTGTTTTGTTCCTTTCTGTATTCCAGGCTCATGGGTGGTAGCTGGCATGTGACACAACACAATTCAAACTCCTCCTGGGGGGAAGAAGGAGCTACCAGGTATAAGGGAGAGTTTTCTGACACACTTCTGTCTGTAAGATATGTAGCAAGAGCATCAGGTACGCAGAAGACAGACACAGGCTGGGGATATAAAGTGTGAGAAACAGAAAATTAATTACCTGAGTGTGTTGGTGAAACCACCAGTCAGAGCTAAGTATCACCTGACATTTATAGTCCCAAGTCCAAAAGGGTAGTCAGTCCTGGTATAGGACATTTTTCCTCTAGCCATGCTCACTTGGGTGTGAATGTGGAATAAACAGAGAGCTGACTTAAGAAGAGTTGCTGTTTATAAAGTGTTAAGCAGCAAGGAATTTAAGCTGGACAAGGATGGAACAGGAGAGGGACAGACAATGAAATGAGAAACATGGACAGTGGAATAGAGGTAGAGTGACTGTTGGTAAACATTTTCTATAAGCTACTGATGGCCCCAGTCCCTAGCTCGTCAGTCCTCCAGGGATGAGACACTATCCAGCAGAGGCCTCCCAACTGTCCTCCCTGTAACACGATTTCCACTGGGTTTAGTGAGAGAGACAGCAGCCTCATCAGATTCTGGGCCAGGAAACAATGAAGGGCAGGAGTCAGGCCTCCAAGAGCACAGGCTGAAAGGCAATCTTAGGGCATAGCCATGTGCACACAGGGGTGCCAGAGAGACTTGGCTGCATCCCATCCCATGAGCATGAGCAGTGGCCATGTGTGCTAACGTGACGTAATGAAGAGCGTTTTTCCTCACTCCACTGGCTGACCTGGATATCCAATGGGATATTGAGGAGGTGATGACATGTGTCTCCCAGGCTATGTCATTGCAAAAATTACCCCTTTGACCTTGATCTTTCTGGGGAAGCCAGTTACCACGTTGTGAAAGCACTTTGGCAGCCTTAGGGAAAGATCAGTGAGGGGAGGGATTGAATCACTTTGCAAACAGCCAATCAGACTGCTGTCCAGCCACTGGGAAGTGAACCTCTGCCCTACTTAGGTCTTCAAATAGCATATGGTATCTTGACTAAATCTTGACAAAAGACAAAACCAGAAGCAAATAGCCCCATTAAGCCAGTCTTGAATTCTTGACCCACAGAAACTATCAAAGAGTATCTTAGGATATAGCTCAGCACCACAACACCTGACTGGTAAAATCCACGTTATGAGTTTGATTTACAATATTAACAACAACAAGAAAAAACTATCAGAGTTAATACATGTTTATTGTTCTTTCCAGTTGGCATTTTGTCATAATTTTTAAAATAAATTAAATCGTTTGACTTCTATTGTATTAGGTAGCCACTGATTTCTTCAGTATAAAGAACAAGGTGGGTCATAGGGTTTTCTTAGCAGAGTGGGTACTTAAGATGTGGAATCCTGAGACCTGACCTCACTTCCTTGGCAACATGTCCAAACGGAACTAAGGAACCTGCCTCTAGGCTCCCACCGCAGAAACAGCCATCTCTTGATCTGCTGGTCCTGAGAAGGTCAACAATCTAGCCTACTGAGCTGCATCCCCACTCAGCGAGGCCAAGGTCGAGACCAAGACCATGGATGCAGGAGCTGGGGCAGGGAGAATCTGTGTGAAAGGCTCAGGAGGCGCATTACTCCAGCCGCTCGCTGCAGGCCACCATGTGAGAGAGACTCCTCCCTCTCAGACAGCCCAAGGATGGTGGCCCCAGGACTGGCCACCTGAGAAACATCAAGTTACCTGGCTGACATCTCCTCAAGGCCAAATAGGAACAGCATGACCAAGCCAGAGCTCCCAGGGAAAGTCTCACCTGGCCCACAATGTCCCAGGAGCTCTGGACAGGTCTGTACACATCCGGTCATACACTCCACCAATGCAAAGTGGTCTGAGGTGGGAGATTCCAGTCACAGCCCCCGGGTCCACAGCCACCCTGAAAGACCCAGTGTCCATTCACACTGGCCTAACCACGCCTGAAGATCACTTCCCAGAGGGCCCTTACGAAATCAGGCTGCTGTGGTCAGTGCGGGGGCACAGGCCACATTTTCTCCCCAAGCCCTTGGTGCCATTCTCCTGGGCAGTGAATCCTACTACAGGTCCTTCTTCCCTGGCAGCTCCAGGATCCACACCTCTAGACAGGCCCTGAGGCTGGGGGAACCATCGCCACACCAACTTTGGGGACCTCAAGCCCCTTACTTGGACACAGATGAAATCAGACAGGTGTGCTGTTCAGATAGGGAGCTGCTGTTCACCACAAAAGCTGTACCCCAGGAAGGAGATCCCTGGACCACATCGCCTTGGGAATTGAAAGATTCCATTGCCCCACCTGTGCTCAAGAAAGTGTCGAATCTCTCCATCCACACATCATCCTGCAACACAGAGCAACTCGAGATGCCTGCCACAGCAGCTGTCTCCATCCAACATGGCACTGCCCCCCTCAGGGGAGAGCTGTGCTATGGTGCAGGCCACAGTTTGCAGGCCAAGCGCTTCATCAGGCGAGTTCGCTGTGGTGTTTGTGCTGACCTTGCGGAGGGATTTGGCGCCAGGCACACATATGCACCCACTGTAGAATCTTGGTGCATAAAAAGTGCCGCACATTTCTTATCATCCAGTGTGGGCAGTGTTGCTCCTTCCCATCAGAGCAAGTGATGCATGGGAATCTACCACCCAGAGATTCGGAGCAGGCACACACAGGGAGCTCTTGTCACCCTCCCAGTGTGCACGGTTCTG